CTGAAACAATCACAAAAACAAGGTCAACTCTCTAATATATCATACTTGTCTGTTTAAAATAGTAATTCTTTAAAATCATTTCCAAGGCAAGTTATAATTATTGTTATTTATATTTATGTTCCTGTCCATTTTTATCTACACGAGAAAATAACTCCTACCAAAGTCAAAATCACTCACCAACACCAACAATCATCACACTCACCAACACCAACCATCATCACACTCACCAACACCAACCACCATCACACTCACCAACACCAACCATCATCACACTCACCAACACCAACCATCATCACACTCACCAACACCAACCACCATCACACTCACCAACACCAACCACCATCACACTCACCAACACCAACCATCATCACACTCACCAACACCAACCACCATCACACTCACCAACACCAACCACCATCACACTCACCAACACCAACCAACCATCACACCTACCAACACCAACCACCATCACACTCACCAACACCAACCATCATCACACTCTCACCAACACAACCAATTACTACACCTACCCACCACCAACCACTTCATCACTAATTCCACCAACACCAACCACCATCACACCCACCAACACCAACCACCATCACACCTGCCACCAACACCCCAACCACCATCAAGCACTCACCAACACCACATCACACTCACCAACACCAACCATCATCACACTCACCAACACCAACCATCATCACACTCACCAACACCAAATCCCACCATCATGACCACCAACACCAACCACCACATCACACCTCACCCCAACACCCGTTCATCATCACACCCACCAACACCAACCATCATCACACCTACCAACACCAACCACCATCACACCCACCAACACCAACCACCCAGTCACACCCACCAACACCAAACCACCATCACACTCACCAACACCAACCACCATCACACCCACCAACACCAACCACCATCACACCCACCAACACCAACCACCATCACACTCACCAACACCAACCACCATCACACTCACCAACACCAACCATCATCACACTCACCAACACCAACCACCATCACACTCACCAACACCAACCATCATCACACTCACCAACACCAACCACCATCACACTCACCAACACCAACCATCATCACACTCACCAACACCAACCATCATCACACTCACCAACACCAACCAACATGGCCGCGAGGTACATAATACAAACCACATTACCGAGAGAAACAAGTAACAGAACGAGACCTCAAGAACAAGTGACATACAAGAGACCAGATAACAACTGAGGGGGGGAGGAAGGCAGCGTGTGTGGCCATCCCGTGAACCAATACTAATCAACACATTAATATTACTGGATCACTTGAAGATTATTAGCCCACAGCTTATTTCACCTTATAATTAAATTCCCTCACGCTATCTGGTGAATTAGGTTAGGTTAGAGTAAATTAGTTTAAGTTTGATTAGTTTAGGTTGGGTTGGGTTAGGCCACGTTAGGTTAGGTTCATTTTTGAATAAGTTAGGCCTTTTTTTTTTTAGTTAGTTGCGGGTTAGGCTAGGTTAGGCCAGGCTGGTTTAGGCTTTCGGATTAAGTTGTACTAACAATTACGTTCAAAGCTTTGTGTGAGATGAATGGAGACCCTCCCCTGCCCCCTTCTCTCTTCCTCCTCATTATTAATGCAAGGCGTTCATCTGTCTACCTTGTAACTGCTCCCCACCGTCGGAAAAAAAAAACAAAAGTAGTCAGTGCACCACAGACTCACACACGAACGGTCACACAAAGGCTGGGCCGCTGGTGACAAATATTTACAACAGTTTCCCACCGACTCGTTCTCTGTTTTCACCGATACTCTGTCAACAAAACCACCTATTTCTAACCTTTATCTCACCCTCTGTATTAGCGGGTATTAATTTAAGCGGTGGTAATAAACCCCGGGATTAATTTCATCACTTAATTACTCTGTCCCGTGGGATTAATTTAACCGGGTATTAGTCTGTTAGCTAGGATTAATTCCCCCGCCTCACGACTACATTATCTTACCTTATTCTTTTAGCAGGGATTAAGTTAAATGGTAATTATTGTTATCTGTGTTTAATTTAACCCCAAAATACCCAGTAACCAGAGTCTAATTTGGATTAATTCAACAGGTAATCCTCTCATACTACTCTGAGGGATTACAGTACACTGTTCCTGTGAGGCGATTACAGGGATTACTGTACCGTCCTCTCTGATACACTGACCTGGTCACTCAGATTATATTCAGTCTTTTACCTTAAGTGATATACTGACTTTGGCGATGACGGTACCTTTGTGCAGAGAGAGAGAGAGAGAGAGAGAGAGAGAGAGAGAGAGAGAGAGAGAGAGAGACGTTACCCACCCCGCCCACCACATACCCAACTTCCTGCTTCCCTCCCCTCCTGCCCTCCCCAGTCCACACCCTCCTAAACTCTCCTCCCCTCCCCAAACTGGTCCTCTACCTCCCTCCCTTCCTCCTCTCCCCACACCCCAAGTTCCATGTCCTTCCCTCCCCTCCCTACACCCCAAACTCACTCACACACACACATACTCAGGGTGTATCGCTCCAATATACCCAGCCTCCTACACACACTTCACACCAGTACCGAGGTGTAAACGGTAGTATGGTCATGAATACTACACTTTGTTTACCTCTGTGTGTGTGTAAATGGATGTAAACAAACCTCCTGACCTCCTGTGTGTGTGTGTGTGTGTGTGTACGTGTGTGTGTACGTGTGTACGTACGTGTGTGTGTGTGTGTTGACAAGGGAGGGAAGAACAAACCGAGACAGTAAGACACTTAAATTAATATAACATTCCGTCGCCCACAAAAACAGACTTCTACATTTCTCTCTATCACCTCCGCACCTGAGAGTAGGGACCCTGGACAGGAGAGTGGGGGGGAAGGAAGTTATAGTTCGGAAATTGAAGACATTTAGGAGGAGGTAAGAGAGGGCGAGCTGACTAAGCTAATGGTGTGTTTGGGTTGTGTCATGGGTTAGTTATTGGCTGTCGGTACAGGCACTAGACATCCTACCCTGTCCCATATATGGGTGTTTTAAGGGCCTTATGTCATATTCCGCCGACCCTACTGGCGGATGCTGGTCTAGGGAGGTTGTGTATTGCCTGGCCAGTAGACGTGGGTCCTTCTTGGTTCCCCTCCCTTCCATCTCTTCCCCGGCCCCCTTCCTCCCTCCCCTTCCCTGCCCCCTCCCTCCCTCCTGGTTCCCTCCTGGTGTCCACCCCCTCCTCTCTCACCCCCAACACACGCTAATCACTCGGTGTCTCACATCTTGCCTAAGTTATGTCATCTCCCCCTCCCTCGTCCCTCCCTCCCCCCATGGACTCATTATCCTCCTTCCTCCCTCCTCCTGTATCCCCTCCTCTACCCATCTCCCCACGGGCTTATTATAAAACACCCTATCTGACCCCCCTCTCTCACCAAAAATAAATTATTACTATTATCATCGTCAGTATCATCATCACACTATTCATCATCAACTACCACTATGTTATTACTTTACTGAAAAAGAGCCAAGCGCATCAACAATTATGACGTCATCAAACGATGTCCAATGAAAAGGCCGAGTTCTCAGGATGCGCTGACGTCACATGTCCTGCCAATGAACTAAAAATAACACACCAAGGTTAATGCTCTCATGACGTCATATTTACGCTCTTACTCACGTATAGTTTTTCTTAAATCTTAACAGTTGTTGATTTTGTGTGAAAAAAAGCTGACTCAGTAGACGTGACGTAACAGCTTAGCTGAGGAAACGCATTAACAAATATTCAGAAAAGAATTAGTCAGTGATGTCAAAAACTGATTCACCAATTATATACGATCAATGCCACTAACGTTATGAATTCATTCACCAATCATATACGTTAATAGTACGCGAAAACTTCACATAAACTCAATGACGTCATAAAATCAATAAACAATCCTATATAGTGAAGCACTGTGATCTGCCTATCCTTAATAACTATAGATTCACTTCGATGAACTTGTTACAGGGGGAGCTTAACTGGTTCTGAGAACCAATCATGTGCTGAGCTGTAGTCGACACTCCTCACTCTCTCCCCTCACACACTACATCCCCTCACACACTCATCTCACCCTCCCCCACACACTCATCTCACTCTCCCCTCACACACTCATCTCACTCTCCCCCCACACACTCATCTCACTCTCCCCTCACACACTCATCTCACTCTCCCCCCATACACTCATCTCACTCTCCCCTCACACACTCATCTCACTCTCCCCCACACACCCATCCCCACTCCACACACCATCCCACTCCCCCCACACACTCATCCCACCTCCCCCACACACCCATCCCACCTCCCTCACACACCATCCCACCCCCACACACCATCCTCACTCTCCCCCACACTCATCCCACTCTCCCCCCACACACACTCCTCACTCTACCTCATCCCACCACCTCCCCTCACTGTAATCCCAACTCTACATAATCCTTCTCTAGACTCCACCCTTCCTCCTAACCCTCCCTCCCTCACATTTGTCTTCATTCCTCCTATTCCAGCAATCCTTTCCTCTCATTACACTCCTCCTACCCCCATACAGCTCCCCCCCTTCCCATAACACCCCCTACTTCCTATCAAAACTCTCCCCTCCTTATAATTCCTCCTCCCCTTATATTACCAGGAATATGGTCATCACCACGGCCACTCTGGGAACGACCCCACCTGCCCCTCCGCCCCCCCTCCTCCAACTCCCTACGGACAACACCCAACCCACCTATGTGTCTAACCTTCTCTCCCATGAACACCTGTGTTATCTCACTACCTGCCCATTCATATGTGATATATATTTCAGTTCTGGAACACAACTGAACATATTGACGTGATATATCATTTAATCACTTGTACGTCACCACAGCAGTTCTTGGCGTTGCGTCAGCTGCTCCATACTTTATTGACTACTCAGTCACAGACTGACTGACTCACATAGAAAGACTGTCATAGACTGACTCACAA